AAAAAAAATTCCACGTCAACATGTTTTCAATTTGCTTTTGCCACGTCATCAAAAAAATAAAAAATGCCACGTGAGCGAGTTAACGATCGAAATTAACAGAAGGACTAACGGAGTGCATTTCGTATAGTTAAGGGATCAAAAAAGTGCAAAAAATTGTTAAGGGACCAAAAATATGCAACTCACTAAAGTTGAGGGACCAAATTTGAAATTTAACCTTCCATTTATTAATAAATAACATTTTCGCTGTTCAAAAAAAAAAAAGGATGAGACAACGAATCCCGTAACACTCCGCAAATTGTAGGGATAGGAATCCCTATGGAATTATTTGATGAGTCAAATTTGTCTCCATCCTTGTTACTTGTGAGGATTCCTTGCTTCTTACCAATTAATATTATAAAATTAGTTTGATTATTTTTTTTATTATTTTAAAATAAAATATTTTAAAAAGTTGAGTTAATTAGATTTTATATTGAGTAAAAATTAAAAATAAGTAATTGGACTTATAAAGTCAAAAAATGTGTTGAATTTGGTTTAATTTGAAGTAATTAGATTTTAATATTAAAAAATTTAAAATTAAGTAATGTGTATGAACTATGACTTTTTTAATTAAATTATAATTTTATTTATTTTGAAGTACCAAGAGTACTCGTATTGGTCTAGTACTTGACGGTCTATTGATCATTCTTTACAAGATATGCTTAGAATTATCAAGATTTGTATTTTAATTTAAGGTCTCCTTTCTCCTTTTTAAAAAAAAATTTCCCATTTTTCAAAAAAAAAAATTTATATCAAATTTTTATGTAAAGAGTTTTCTAAATACATTTAAAAAAAATTCATATTAAAAAATAAAAATTAATTTTTAGTTAATTAATTGTTTAATTAATTTTATCTACTTAATGTTCATATAAAATTAATATTTATTTTAATAATTTTATATATTTATAAATAAAAAATATTTTTAACACCCATCTTAAAAAAAAGCTTTTACGTAAATTCTGAGAAGAGCCCCTGGTACTCTGCTAGTAATAAATTGGTTTTGCCGTTCGGAAAAACATATTAGAAAGGAGATTAAATAGGAATCATCGTGAAGATGTTAGGTACCCTGCCTAAAGTCAATTGCGCCGGCAGAGTAAAATCCGTTGGCCGGTGTCATGTCAGTGCAACATTGCCGAAGTAAGCTCCAACGGCAATAGGTACGTAGAAAAAAAAATCTTAAGTATAAGCTAAATGTTAATTTTAATTTCTTTAACTTTAAATATTTTTATAATATTTATCTTATAAGTTTTTTTTTACATTTTTTTTGTTCTCTTCAACTTTAAAAATGTAGTGTTTTTTAATTTTATTGTCAGTTTAATTTGTTAAATCTATTTATATAGACACATTTTTAAGATTAAAATACATATTATAGATTTAAAAATAAAAACCTACATATTTAAATAAAATTAATGAATAAAATGACAAAAAAAATATATTTTTTAGAGTTGATGGACAATAAAAGTGTAGAAAAAGTAAGAATAAATATTGTACAAAATTTTAAACTTAAGGAATTAATATTGACATTTAAGCTAATTAAATATATATAACAAAAAATTCTGACTGAATTAGAGCTAAACTTGTATTAATTTGATGCGTCGCAAACTGAATTAAAACTAGACTAGACTAACTGGAAGAAGAAAAGTACATTTCCTTCTTCTATTCGAGCCTCCTATAAGGCTATAAAGATGGCACGTAAATGTTGGGAATGCAATTTCTTTATTAGTAAGATGATTTGGTGAATAATCAGCTATGGCTTTTACCGAATTGAAATACCCACGAATGCCTGCATTTTTCATGGCTTCTTCTCTTGACCCAAATGGGATTGATTGCCCGTAATCAAATTGCTAAATTATAAAAATAAAAAATAAAAAATTAGACTTGAAAATTAATCCAAACAACAGACGGACTTGTATTATTACTTTTTTTTTTTTTATATAGAAAAAAGAGATTTGCATTGAAAAGTAAAAAGAGATGATGTTACATCATGTATTGTGTAATGTGTTAAAACGAAAGGTGTATTAATTGTATCTTATCTCTATATATCATGGCACTATAATTTAAAATAGAATTGAAGTATAACTTATAACATTAGTTATAGATTTAAATTATGTCTATAATGAATCTAAAACAATTAAGTATAGATTGAGAGTCATCAACAATTAGGGATTAAAAGCAATCACCATAGGCTTTTACAGAGCTACCTAAGTAAAGGATTATCCTAGTGAGCATTCAAAGTTTCTAGAAAATCCTAGTGAAATTGCTAGCTTTTGGAGAGAGTAAATAGCTCAACATGTGACATTCTCGACCCACCAACTATTTATCCTTCCCTAAGCCAAACAAACTTTAATCTCTCATCCACTTGTAGCCTATGATACCGCCCACAATCTTTGCCTTTGATACACCAGCCGCTATCAAATCCAATTAATCTCCTTTGCCACCACTAACTACTGTCCCTCAATTATCCCATAAAACTTCATAAGGAGGGACTTGATATACTCAAGAAAAAATAGCTTTATATGATAGTAGATTCACCTTAAGTGAAAGAGAGGAAAGAGAATAAAGGGGACAAAGGAGAAAATATTGGGAGATATATGATCAAGGGAAACAACAAAAGAGGAGAAGGGTAGGCACAAAAAAAAATTATTGAAGGGAAGGGGAAAATAGGTAGAGAGGAGGGATTGACTCAAGGGAGCTAAAAAGAAGGATGGAGGGGGGAAGGAAGGGCAGAGGGGGGAGCAATGGCTTCTAGCTTTTGCTGCCGTCTCGGCCTAATGTAATTATTAGGATAATTTCTCTTGCTTAGTTTTGATGGGTAGGAGTATTCCTTATAATCTATTAAATATAGAAATTGTGAAAATTGACATGAATTTCAATATAACACTTGTATCTAAATTAAAACCAATTGATAATAGGTAGAGTAACTTTTTTTATATTTAATTCACATACTTTTTTATTATATTCTCAATGTAGGATTTTTTAACTCAACATAAATTTTTTGTTGGTTAAAAAAGAAAAAAGAAAAAAGAAAAGGGGTTTATCTAATTTGTGGCATAGGTTAAATGGGAAAACAAAAAATTTAAAATTAATTTTAACACCATACCATGTAGATTTATTTACTTAGATAATTAATAAAATCAATATTAATTTTTTGTTTTTCTATATAAATTAATATTTAACAAATGTAATAAATATATTTTAACTTGTGCTCTTAAAAAAAAAAAATTACTTGGTTTTACATTCTGAGTTTTATATAAACAACAAGAATCAA